TCAATATTTATAATTTATGATACACAAATATGTATATTATGTATATGTAGTAATGTTTATAGTATATATACTATATATATATAATATATATATATATATATATTATATATATATATATATATATATATATATATCAGTTATCCCAATTTCTCAAAAACAGAATAGCATAGTTCTCCCTTACAATTATCAGTCCCGTTTTCTGATATTCTCTTCGAGACCTCTTTTATTTTATTCATTTACATCTCTCGATAGTGTAATATTTCTTAATATTGCTTAACATCGAAAATTTACTGAATGTACCCTGCTATTAGAAGGCTCACCCCTCCAATCTGAAAATGAACAACGATAAAAGAAAAAAAATAGTCAATTGTGCCTCTGTCATTTTATTAGTTGTTGATACCTTCCAGATGCTGACATATTTCACATTTTTTGTTTGTTTCTTTGTTTACAGTCTGCTTGAAATTTATTTTATGTATAAATGACAGATGCAGTACCGGCGCAAATGTCTCTGGCCGGTGTCATAAAACAGTGCCCAGCTATAACTGGGGGCCACGATCTAAAATAACAACCCTATTACATGATGTATGAAATACTAAATATGGATGCTTAGATTTTAAAGTTTTGTTTCTAATTAGCAAGAAAAATATGTGATTTGTTCATGTAAACTACTTTCATTTGTTCTAAATGAGCCAGCAAATGACTCTGAGATAACTCGGATCTATGCAAAGTCACGTTTCGTCGACTTTATATATAATTTAGATATATTTGGCTCTGTAGCAATAAAATGTTCATCATAAAATATAATATACTTATTGAAATACACAAATACGTACAGAAATCCCTACCATATTAAATAATCCAGCGAAGCTTTTATGAAGTCGAAGGTTTGGTTGAGCGAGCTGACTTTTGTTTACATCGCAGAGAAAAGAAAAAAGAAGAAGGGAGGACTTGTGTCGTTTCATATTTTAAAAGAGGCATTTAAGGTATTGATTCTTTCTCATTTGGGTTTAGAAACTTGTATGTCAGTTATTGATTTAGGGGACAAAAGGTTATGATAGTTTTAAGAATTTATGAAGAAATACACAGCTTGGCTTATTACTAGTATGTAGCACTAAGTTTGAAATTAGTTGACTTTTCAGTGCATTTAGATAATTCCGTGCTTTTGAAATGGTTACAATGTTGTCATAATCATCATAGCACTTAAAAAATAGAACAAAGACTGAGCTGTATCTTTCATCATGATGATATTGACATTACTGAACTAAATTCTATTATTATAGTTTAGTAAATTTGTTTGTATAGTCGTATTATTTGAAAATATCATTGTAAATGTCCAGATTCAACCAGCCTCCGACTTTTGAACTTTTTTTATGGAATAGTCCTTTGTTGTTTATTGCTATTATGTTGTTCTCTGTCACATCTGACTGCATGACTTGTGATGTAGCATGTACTTCCCGATGTCAAATCTGCTCAGCTGTGTAAACCAAGGCTTCACTTTATTTTTTTGGAAGAATTTGCATGATTTACATATAGCAAAAATACAAAACCACACCAAAAATGCTTTAAATCTTGTTTGATGAAACAGCAGGAATGGAAGTCATGTTTCACCTATACTATTATGGTGGTCTACAATTGTGCGGTTAAATCTAGGATTACTTTTTGCAGTTAATTTTTTTGATTGACAATCAGGACTTCCCAGACAATATTTATAGCATCAGATTTATTCTCATGTGATGAGAATGAATCTGATGATCATTTCCATTGCAATCACAGCCGACGATCTTGATGTGTTGTCCCGTTAGCAGGGGAGGGCATGAAGTATATCAGGGAAATTATGGGGTTAAACAGGCTTAAATAAGAATAATAGCGAACAGAAATGTGTAAAATAAGCACAAAAAACGTTAAATCTACATGATTTCACACCTTCCAGACCCAGAAAAATGTCCAACTCCATAACCCAACCTGACCTAACAATAACGGTGCCGTGACTAGGCATGCCCTTCGGGCACTGCCCAAGGGGAGGGTTGATGGGGGGCAAGCCCCCCAACACCCCTGGGACACATTCTCTTCACCTCAGTATGTACGGCAAGATAGAGCTACATCCATACTGAAAACATTAAACCAAATACGTATATATATCGAAAGACCGAACTGTCAATTTTCCTTCGCTTCTTTCGGTTGGTCTATTGTGGATCGTGGATCGCTTCGTTCTGATCGCTTTTTTTGGGGATTTGGGGTACTTGATGGCCACAGAAATGGAACTCCGATAGTTATTAAGGTCTTTTTCTTCTTCGTTTCCACCACATAGTCTTAAGAACAACCTAGAATCGACGTAGCACCAAAACCGAAACATTTCTCGCCGGTCTACTGTCACCGGACTGCCCTGGGAATCGTCCTGTCAAACCTGGCAGCAGAACGCGAAAATGCGCCTGCGCAGAAGGTGCTTCAGGCTGATTTCCTTAAATCACTAATAAATCTTGAAGCATGAAAATGGGGTGTAACAACATTAACAAAGGCCTTTTGAAATCATATATGTGGAACAGCAGACACTGATAATTAGCCAAATATCATTTTGACAATGGCGTAGTAATACATGAACTACTTAAAAGAGCTCAAGAATGATTTGACTGGTCACAATTTTGTTTACATTTCACGATGTCAACATGGCGAGGGACTTAGAAAAAGATGGGTCAGTTTTCTCTTTTCTTTGTCGTGTAACTCCTTTATTTTCGATTTACGCACCTTTTGCCAGAGATGAAAGTGTCTCAGTTTACGTCAAGGTAACCATTCTATATCTTTTTTTTTTAATGTAACCCTGATTGTTATCTGTGGTAATTTTACCCTTTTTGCCTGATTGCAGCACAATACAAAGACATTAAGTCATGATTGAACAAAATAGAGGTTTGCATATGAAAATGTGTTTCTAAAGTTCCCCGATGATTCTATCAAATATATCTATAAATTTCCATAAATGTTGCTCAAAAAGTAACGGGATACCAACTTACAATATCAAAGTTCTGTGTCAAGCCACCGATGTGGTCTATGTAGGCAACGTGGAAGTTGTTACTCCCAAACAAACTTTCAACACATTTGAAGATACAAGAGTTTACTAACCTTGGTGATGATTGATGTCTAAAAAGGGTAGTTAATTATTTATACTTTCCCTATAATGTAAGGTTGAGTTTATATGCATTTGAGTGGCTAATATTTCCATGAAGCTGTGGCAATAATTTTGTGACAGTGCAGCTTTAAATATATATTCCTCATATGTAACTGCATTTAGGCCAAATTTATCATGTGCTATGATGGCACACCGAATCAATTGTCGTCTATCCAATAGACAATGAACTTAAGACAAACTGTTAATATTTTTCAATGATAGTGCGTTTATTTCATACAAGTAAAGACTTACTGTTTCATGCATTTGATTAATATTTGATGATTTACTTAGTGCAATAGATGTATGTAATTTGCCAGTACTTGTTATAACCTAATTAAATTTAAATAGCACCTTCATTATTACAAATCACCATCCTATGTCCTCAATGTAATATTATTTCTAGTGCTAGATATATTTTGCGTTTTTTTAAACTTTCAGCTGGTTTTCAGTGCATTATATTTTCACATGTACACCTCTTTGAACAGCAATCAGACACATTAAGAGTTTTTTGTGCCCAAGTGCACAGCTTTTTTTTTGGAAAAAAAAAAAGATTTCTGATTGGTCAGGAAACACTGTTGTCATTTTCTTAAATTCATTATTGACAGATCTTAGAAACTGTATGTCAGAGTGCACAAAGACATGTAATTTTTTCCGCAATACTGTTTTTTACACATTTACTACAGTTGAAATGAATAAAGAAATGCAAATACAGATTGTGAAGTCTTACCAAATTCCATTCACTCTCGGATGAGCTATCCTCGTCAGGAGGAACGGGGGCTGGCAGGGGCTGGTCTCATTGAAGTTCACCTTGCCGCAGATGCAGTGACACTGCATGATAAAAGAAGTAAAGTAAGGGGGATTCAGAGTGGTGTTTTATCAAAAGATAACGCATGATGTATTGGGCTCTTTATACTGAGCCATTTCACCCACTCTATAAGAGCTTACCAAAATCTTTTTTTTTTGTTTATGGTTTTTTTGGTCTTGTGGATACAAAGTTTTCAGAATGATATGTACTCAGATGCTTATAGCATGATGCAGTAGTTTTCAGTAGGTAGCCCATCCATCACGTTACATCAGTTTCCCAAACTTTTTTGGGTGCAACCCTAAAGATAGTCTTACCCTGGCTAGCAACCCTAATTGTATAAAACATGTAGTAATATATCCAACCATCTTCATTGTAGCTATACATGCAGATGTACATTAGCTTACATTATTCTATACTTTCATAGGTTTAGATTATCAACACACTGAATTTCAATATACAAGTGTTAACAAAAAACATTTACTTTTACTGACATATCCAGCTGGTGACCCTAATTTGGGTCGCAACCATGGGGTTGGGAACCACTGCTTTATATCATGCCGTTTGGTTTTATATATTTCTTAATTCGGGGTATGAGTGTGTGAGCACACTGGTCACTATCCAGGAGTGGCACAATAAATTTTTTTTTAATTATATGCTCAGTACCCACAAAGACCCACACCTGGCTCAACTATCTGCCCCTGTTATATATTGACCATACGAGCAACGTTTTGTCAATTACACTGGCACCTCCTATAGAATTTTGATTTTGCAACCAATTTTGGGTTGCCATAGAACAAAAACTTCTCCAATCTACGCTACTTGATTTAGACATGCCAATACATTTTGGGATAGTTTCATCTTCCCAATGCTTTTGCAACCAATGATTAACAAACAAAATAATTTTAAAAGGTTCCAAATGTGTCCCCTGCAAAAATGTGCTTTTGTAATTGCTGGTCGAGAAAATGCAATTTTTACAAAGTTTTGCTTTTGCAATTTTTTTTCCATCTGCCACAATACCACATATGTCGATCTTTATGGTATTTGCAAGGTAAATCACAATGACGACAATGTACTGCCCTTGGCAAAACATTATGTGCTGTCAGGAATTCAATAGCATTATAATTTTTTTTTTCAAAATACTCAGATAAACCTGTTTCAGACATGGTGTCATGTGATTGGTTTATAGCATTTCCTGTAATACTATTGGCTTTCATGACAATGTCACTCGCATGCAGTGTACAATACAATTTTCAGAAAGTTCCCCAACATTTCGTCAGGCTCATCTTGCACGTAATATGGGTGAGACACATCGACTTGTGCAGTGTAAGAAATATATTTGTTGCTGTAAACACTCGATATTATTATAGTATAGTTGTGTTGTTATATCTTTTAAAGCAGATATAAAATCTCCTTTTGTATAAAACTCAAATATTACACTGACTCTACAAAAATGAAAGGGAATCATTGTTTTGTTTACAAACGGTAGGAAAGGAAATCAGATGGCGCTTTTTAGAAAATAGCATGTCCAATAACTTTTTTGAGTTACGATGGAAGTAGAGAGTAGATAAGTTTCTTAGAATCACTTGCTCTATCGTTTGCATTTTTTTTTTTTTTTTTTCTTTCTTCTTCTTCTTCTTCTTCTAAAAGAATGCTGGCAGAAAATTTACCAGTACCAATATCGATACAATCAATCAATCAAAACTTTACAGCCATGAAGATATGTGATTATTGATCACTTTTCATTAAATACCTTCTCTTGCAAATGAATAATTATGAAGTTATAGTGTTAGAATGAAGTGAGATTCATGCAATTGCTAAGGGAAAACTGACCAAATTCTCCAGTGCTATGATTTCATTTGCCAATTGTTTGTCGGTTAATTTAATAGCCAATGGGGAAACAAGCTGCAAGGAAGCAGCCAATGAATAAATATTAGCTAAAATAGAAGCTATGAAATTGTTTTAAAATTATTTTCACTATGGCCGCTGTGTGTGTAGGGTGTCAAATTAACCCACTTACGACGGGTATCTCACATATGAGACAAAAAAGTAAACAGTAACAGGCGTCATGCCAGTGAGACAGTAGATTGGAGGTCGCGCTCTGATTTTGTTGCCCGTGGCAAGCACGAGCAGAGTACAGACTTACCTGCGTGCCAATTTTTAATCAGGTGAAAGCACTGCTCTTTCTCCTCTGCATAGTTATGGTGTAAGGTTTATTTTCATGGAAATGGGGGGGCAAAAGGGAGATGGTCACTAGGCGTTTATAATTTTCAAGGAGGACCATATGTATGTAAAACACACACATATAAGGTTAAGAAATTTAATCATCCTTATTTAGTAGGCCTACATAGACTTTTTATATATAAAGGAATAAGATATTAGTTATCCCTATCAAATCATTTTCTTTGACAATTTTCAAAAGTAACAGTTTTCATCGAGATTGGATATTTGCTTATTTATGGTACAACTTAACATAATATTTTTTATCCAAAACGTGCAAAGACGTTGCTATATAGCGGTTTCAACTCTAGACGAAGACTGCGCACCAAATGAGCTCAAAATTCATATAGTTAATTTCAGAGTGGGGTCTACTACCATGTTCAACATGAAAAAAATCAGTGTCTAGTTTATATCTCAAAGTTCAAAGATCCGACTTTTTAGGTGCCCTTCGCTGAAATGCTCTCAATAGCAGAAACACCCAATTTTAAATCAAATCAATTTACCGTGCTCAAAAGTACAGATTGTTGAGCAAAATCTAAAGGGAATAAATGAAAATCACTGCAACAACAACAATTAGGGAGTCTCAGTGGAAGCATGTTTCATGTGTAAAACTACACAAAACTATTTTTCTTTTAGATGTATTTCAGAAAGAATTTTGACATAAATCACTGATATAATTTTTTTCTGATGTCATTATCAAATGCTGTATGTACAATCGCAAGAAGCAAAAGTCCACATAGGTGTACCCGGGCGCATATTAGAGGTGTACCTCCCCACGTGCTGTTGGGTCTCGCATGCATTGCACGAGGACTAATCATGTCTGGGCTTTAATAGTCATTTGGTAGTTTCCTCATTCTAGCTAACTCAATTTGAACCCAAAAATCCCTCTCCTCCTCCTTTTTGTTTATTCCTTTTTTTATTGCTGTGATTATCATATGTGCTTTAAAAGTTTCAAAGTAGCTAATTTATTTTGTATTGTATATTTCAGACACAGCCATGTCATCAGCAGAGAAGAACACTTCAGAGAAGAAGTCCTCTGAAAAGAAGACAACTGAAAAGAAAACCACGGAGAAGAAGACTGACGATAGCGCCCTCCCCAGTGTGATTACAGATGGCGGCGGGTTGTTAAAATGGAGGTGGACTACTCTACGACCTGTGACGAGAAGATTCCTGCTGCACACCAGTTAGCCAAAGAGGGTCGCGTGCAGGAGGCTGTGGAGAGTCTCATGGTGTTGGAGAAGCAGACTAGAACGGTTAGTTTAGAAAAATGTCATTTTGATTGTTGTGCATTGTTGAGAGAAAGGTTGAATTTAACAGAAAAGTGTTCCTCCTCCTCCTCTTCATCCTCATCTCCTCCTCCCTTCATCCTCATCCTCATCCTTCTCATCCTCATCCTCCTCATCCTCCTCTCATCCTTGCCTCAATATTCATTTAAACAAGCTAAGCATTTAAATCTTCTTATCTGTGAGTTTTACGAGAGTTTTTATAAAGTGTGTGAAAAAAATAATGTGTAAGTGTAGTAGTATATGCATATTTTTATACTAAGTAGGTAGCTTAATCCAGAGTGTAATAAAAAAGGAATGACAATAAGTTTGATTAAAAGAGCCCTATGCAAAAAGCTGTATATGTATTCTCTGTAATTTTATTTTGTGTTATTATGATGTATTATATGACAACAAGGTATTGTATAAAGAATATTGATTGATAGAATAACAACAGCTGTAAAAACCTCAATTTTCCAAAACACTGACTTATAGATTAGCTCCAGATATGTATCACAGTTTTAGGAACTGCATTGATACATTCCTAATATATTAATGCTTTATGTTCCCAGGGAGCAGATGCACATTCCACAAGCAGAGTCCTGGTTGCAATAGTGGAAATCTTGTTTTTTGCTGCCGGAGACTGGACACTGACGAAAGCATTGTCACACTCACCAAAAAGCGCTCCCAGACAAGATGGATGTGACTAAGATGGTGCCAGAAGTGTTGCAGATCAGACTCCAGACAAAGAAACAAAGCTCAAGCCTTATGGACACTCTAAGGTTTGTTGCTGTGTCATGGTTTACTAGTGGAGAATTTTGCAAGGTATGTAGCAAAACTGTGTGGTGTCTTTATTACTAAGTATGTTATCATTATTTGATTTGATATGCTTTTATTTAATTTTTTTGAGTAACTTAATAAAAAAATTAATTAAATGTTAAATGGTTTAGATAGATATTCACTAGGTTTCATTGAT